CGACTGTCCAAGTCCACCAGATTTTTTTTAAAACATTAAATGTTTATTCATGATATGTCCCGAAGCTGTTGAATTATTCGTTATTAATGAAATGAGGAAAGTTTAATTGTAACTAACGATTATGTTTGTAGTTCATGACAGGGTACATGAAGGGATGATTGTGCTAGAAATATTTGATACTGTTCTAGCTCGCTTTATCCAAAAAATTCAATATTTTACTTTTCGCGTATAGGTCCTTGTGTTTCGACACTAAAAGAAAACATTCGTTGTTTATCATCTCCCATCAGCCATTTAATTTTAATTGCAATCAAAACATCGAAAAAGGCCCATTTTAAATCAATTTTACACTTCAATAAAAAACATTTGACTATCGAGGCCATAAAACAAATAAGTTATAGGCCTATTAAACATCACTTTTTAGAGTCGAAGGGACTTCTAAAAAAACGAACCTCACCTAAGCAAACAGTCGGAGAGTCGAAGGAATCCTGAGCAAATTACCGTTTCAGATTTACAACGTGTCGGCGAATGTCAGCCATCTTGTTAGGCGCACAGCTTAATTTTTTACCCCGATTCCAGGAAGATTGGCTAGCTAGGAAATTGTCGTGTATGTGTAAATGCACATTATTATAACTGTTCTGGTAATGGTTAGTTTGTGGGTAGATAGGGAATGTGATAGCTGCCTCTCTTCTTGCTAAGGTCGGAGGAGTCAATTGATCCAGGGATCTTTTGGTACTATATGCTTATAGGTAGGGTGAATCCTGTTGCTTTTTTTGAAGGATAAACAACAACACAGATATCAATTTTTCTTAGGACCGATTATCCTAACGCCATTAAAATTTTATCAAAAGAATAACCTTTGAATATTGGACAATTCTTTGATACTACAAACTGTCAAATGTTAATTTTATTCTACAGTTCAGAGTTATCGGTTGTTTAAAAAATCGGCCCTTAGAAATTAATATTTTATGATGATGTTAGTCAATTTTCAATAAAGAACAATATATCAGTCGGTCAATGCATTTGTAACTCCTTTATTGTGATATTACGGGTGCCGATAGACGGCGCTGATTGTTTGCTATATGATGACCTATCTGATTCATTTGCCCGTTTGCCGTTTTATTCCATACTAGCAACCCGCCCCGGCTTCGCATAGGTGGACTTGAAATATGCATGTATTATACATATATAAACCATTCTTAAGAAGCATTCTATCTATTAAAAGAAACTGCATCAAAATCCGTTGCGTAGTTCTAAAGATAAAGAAAGAGAAGGCGGATAGCGACTTTGTTTTGTACTATGTAGTGATAAATTATTAAGACTCAATTTTTCCCCATCAGTAAAGTCCGCAAAGCCTCGGGCCAAAAGACTATAAACTTTAATTACAACCGCGGCAACATCCTTAGAAATTAGTTCCTACGTCTACTTTAAACATGCTAGCCTGGTAGCCATAATTTGTAACTGACTGGCTACCTGATTGCCGATAGGATATTCAATTTGAACATCATCTGTAGGCTATTAATCATTCGCTAATCGATTACTTTATATGCTAAGGAGTAATCTGTTCATAGCTGTACACTCGTTTGCAGATTTTAGTCGATAGGGACTTTTAATGGATATGATAAGTTGGATACTATATGCTATGTTTAGAAAAAGATTTCCCTAAAGGTATTAGAAACTGGAGTCAGCCAAAGAGATGTCGCATTTTAGGGGGTTTTGATATTTTCAAAAAAATGCTACTGAGAATATTCGTGATGGATCGTGTCATTTCATATCGAAATGAGACTTTATAACTGGTGTAAGTAGGTAATAGAATAAAATGCTGTTGGACAATCAGGCACGGAACTAGCATTATAGTGATCACAAATGCCAATCCCGGAACAATCAAGAGTTAACCACCTTTCACCGAAACTACAGCGACACATACACAAACCAGTTGTCAAAAATCATCAGATTTTTTCTCATACCCAATATCCGTACTCAATCTTACTGAGCAACCATTATCATGTAAAAAAGAAAATAACAACCGAACTTTATAAACACGATACTTTTATGAGGAAATTGCTTCTACAATTTGCGATCAACGCGCAGTGTCGGCGGTCGTTAAACAAGGCTGCGCCTGCACATGATGGCGCTACCGGGCACTTTGGACCTTTAGGGGGAGGGGGGAGGAGTAACGATGATAGTGAAGGGAGTTATAACGATCAAGCATGGTGGTAGGAGGTGGTCGAAGCATTTATCGTTGTTGTCAAATAAATAATTGAACGAGACTTTATTGCTTAGTCGGAACTTTCAATTATTTTAATCAAATTAACGGCTGTTGATAGATTATGCTCGGTATAATTTGAGTATTTATATAGTGTATAACTTTTCATCAGCCGATTCCATCAACTGCTCACCTTCTGCTTGATATCAACATTATGATAACATCCACTTTTTATGAAACATATTTGGAACTATGTAGAAGCAGATTTAAAAATTGTTCCTACATAGATTTATTTTTACAATGACTAGACCAACAAGGAGGCCCCATTTATTAATTGAATTTAACATGACTAATGAAATCAGAGGGCTCAGTACGATTCGAGTACGGGCTCTGATTGGCAGTCTCCAAATAAACCAACCAGAGCGCCGATCGCGGTCTCCTTCCCAATATTTCAAACGAAAAATAAACTTGTACTAAGGCCTCAGATTAAAAAACCAGAAAATACGAGATAAAGAAAAAAGCAAACATCTATTATTATCTCAAACAACATAATAATCAAGATTTATAAAGAATATCAGCCGAACTAAATCAAAGGTAGTCCACATCTCAAGATTGGATCTTAGATCCTGCGTTTGCGCACCCAGTCGGTCCCGTAAAGCGCAGTGATTAATGATGATGACCCCCGCAATCATCTCGGTTCACTTCCGTGCGGGGTCCATGATGAATGGACCCCGTAGTGGTCTAATAGATAAGTGATGATAGTTATATTGCTCAGGGAACCTGATAAAAGGTTTTTGCTACTGGTTCCTAGGTTATTTGTAGCGGTTCTAATGGTGCAGTTTTTTGTAATACTTTGGCTAGATTTCGCTATTATTATTATTTATGGTACCTATAGTTATGTATGGTTAAAAATTACAGCCATATTCCTTTCATAAAACTCAGTTTTACAGGAGTACCTTAATATTCACACCAAAAACAATATTTCAGCACATTATACGTATACACGTGAATGATAGATACCAAAACAAAATGAATTATTAAGGCATAGTAATCAATAAATTAATTTACAAAATGTCATAAGTTACCGCCGCCAGATACACAGATTTTATGACACATTTCATAGCGGTGTCAGATGCAGTTAAAAATTATAACAATTTATTAACACTGGGACAAAATTTATGGTGGTAAGCCGACGAAATATGGAATTGCAATGGAGTAAGATTTAAATGTTGTACTATTGGAAAGGCCTATGCTCAGTAGTGGATGAAGACAGGCTGGTGAGGATAGTACTGAAGAATTAAGCAATGAGGGGTTACTGATGATGATGACGATGTAAGTTATAAGCGAAAGAGATCACTTTTAAGGTTCACCGACTTCATTTTCTCCAAGTCTGTTTAGTAGGCAAGTAAGGTATATCATTGCCTATAATAATATGTTGAATAAAAATTTGAATAGAGATTTCTTGCTCCATAGAAAGACTATTGGTCTCACCCTTAAAATAATACACTTAATGAGCCCTTTTAATCGTACAGCCAAAAAATATTTTTCACTACTTATTTTGATAAGTCAAATCTGACAAAGTTAACATACGACCCCTTAACTATATATTAACTAAAGGTTTGGCAATATTGTTTGCAATTTGATCTGATATGCGCAGGCGCTCGTGCCGCGCCCGTTCTCGATCGTACCCGATCGTACCCGATTGTGCCCGAGCGGCCGTATAAATCTTTCGTAATACGGACTTTAGTGATTTACATTGTGCCTTTAACCTTTATTGTGGAAATATTTAAATGTAATTACTATGATTTTTCGTAGATATTTTAGGTACTAAGTGCAGTTGAATGGCCTAACTGATTAGAAAAGAGAATGGTCGGTTCGGATTGGGATTTAGCAATGAACTATAATACTGTTTGGGAAAAAGACATGGTCTTGTTAATTATCGATTGATTAATGATGAGGGGCTTAAGGACTGTTTTTTTCTTATGAAGAAGAGAAGTATTTAACTTTTAAGCTTTACTTTCTATAGATATAGATTTTTAGCCATATTTTTTGTACCGTCGTTTGTATTATCGAATCAATAGCTGGTATTTACCAAAGTTCTCCGGTATTGAATAACTTTTAATAAGTTCATTTACCAGTATTTTACACACCTGTCAACTATAAACATTATTAAATACCCACTAAATTCACAAAGTCACATTAAATACAAGAAGACGTGTTAAATGGCTACCAAAGCGCAAATGCCCGAATTTAAAATCTGCACCAAATTCCGCACCGAAATTACGAAAGAGGTTTTACAGAAAAATTCAAACCTCCTTAATAAGCTTTATTTAAATCGTTTTAAAATTAAAAGTAATGACAATGAAAAAACATGGCCGCTGCTTTTTGTTAATTTCCCGCGCAAAATACTGTCATTTTAGTTAAAGAGATTTTTTCGGTCTTGTGGTATGCTCGATCATTAATTTTTGAAATTACCGAATTTAGGGTCGTAAAAAGAGAAGCTGTGGTCAAAGTTAGTGATTTCATGCATATTTAGAGTGATGAACTTTTTAAAATTATTGTCGTAACCATAAAACTGACTAAACCGTCGAATAATTGCATATAAAATAATTGCAAGAAACATAGTTTTTTGGAAGACTTCGAAACTAAATAGGAAACATTCAACTGTTGTACCTGGCGAAGATAAGCAGAACAGCAGCAGAGGTTTATAAAAGTACCAGTCATTTTCCGTAGGAATGTAAGTATCTCCCTTACTAAAAAATATTATTTATCATTAATTTACTTTTTCCATCTCCAGGCCCCTAGTCTGCCAGAACGGAGCGACTTGCACGAACTCAGTCGGTGGCTTCTCCTGCATCTGCGTCAACGGCTGGACAGGTCCAGAATGTTCTGTCAACATCGACGACTGCGCAGGCGCGGCTTGCTTCAACGGCGCCACCTGTATCGATAGGGTTGGGGCTTTTTACTGCAAGTGTACGCCGGGAAAGACTGGTAAGTGAATTTGAGGAGTTTTTGTTTCTGTTTTATTTGTAGGGTTCTCTCTCTTAAAACGCAACGTATTTGTAACTCCTCCGGTGTTATGGTTGTCTATGGGTAGTGTTAACCGCGTACCATTATACATATCTGTTTGTTCTTTTGCCCCTTATGCCATAAAAATAAATTGATTAGGTCTATTTTAAGTGTTCTACTGAAAATTTCGGAATAAAAAATGACCAATCGATATACTGCCCGTGAGGCTATTTGCTCAGCAACAGCAACTTGCAACCATGTGTTGATGTGAAAGTTTTTAGTCCTAGTTATTAATAAATTTCTCTTTTCTGCAGGTCTACTTTGTCATCTGGATGATGCGTGCACCTCCAACCCTTGCCACGCGGACGCCATCTGCGACACCAGCCCAATCAATGGTTCCTACACCTGCTCATGTGCATCAGGCTACAAGGGGCTCGACTGTTCCGAAGATATTGATGAATGTGAACAAGGTAAGATTATGATACGTTTTCATTGTATTCCTTCTTTGTAATTCAGTCTTCAAACAATTTGAGCAAATGAGGTTTGATCAGTGCAAATATTTAACCATCATTTTTTCACAGTGAACATCAATTTTTGCATGTCATTGTATTATTGTGACCTACACATGTTTTGGCAAATAAAGTGGTCTTTATCTTTAAACTTTAAAGAAAATTGCTTCCTATATTAATTAATACATCATCATTTCATAATCGTGTAAATCAATAATCTGAAAGTATAACAAGAGAGTTGAAATTTACTCCTTGATATTAGTGCTGCTATAATTTACTAGGTGTATAGGAAACTAAGTTCTTAAGAAGTCAATAGTCAATATAAGCAGTTACTTAATTTCTCTTCTTCTTTCACAGGATCTCCATGTGAACACGATGGTATTTGCGTCAACACTCCCGGGTCTTTCGCGTGTAACTGTTCGGTTGGGTTTACTGGACCGCGTTGCGAGACCAACGTCAATGAGTGCGAGAGCCACCCCTGTAGGAACGACGGCTCCTGTCTCGACGATCCTGGGACCTTCCGATGTGTCTGTATGCCTGGTAAGTGGAGTTTTATGGTTGAACATTACCTTTTAAAGAATTGTGTGTCTTCGATAGGAATTCTGATTAGGTGATTATTATTGAAAGGCGAAGATAACTGTCATCGCTCTAACGAGGATTTTTCAAAATTATAATACTTAGATCGTTATTTGACCTGAACCCTTTGAGAACCGTCGTTATAGACACAATTAAAGAACATGTGAGGACACCGGTGTCCTCGCGGTGTTCGACAGTTTCATTTCAAAATCTCCTATCCATCTGTAGGTTTCAGTTAAAAGAAAAAGGAATGCTCTTACACGTTTTAAAATTCAAACATTTGCTTTTGTGCCTAGAGAAATGTAGGTAAGCTTCACTATTCTTAATAGTGCAGTTAGCTAAACTTACGGCCAAACTCGCAATTAAATCCAAAGCAAACTGATCCGTTTTGGTGTTAGTCATTTGAAAGTGCCAAGATCGATAATTTACTTACTAGCATGAGCCTACATTAAAACCAGTTCCTGACTCATAGATTAATATTCAAACAACGGATTTATCTTTATAAACAAACACACAAACAGTCTTATCAGGCATCTCAATGACTATATCAGTAATTTGCATAAACTTGGACATTTACTGGACATTGTAATAAATAGTACTTACTTTGGTACTGTTAGTACAATCGGCAAATGATTCAGATGTAGTGATTCTGACACCTTAGTTAATTCGTTCGTCATAAACTTGAGGGTACCTAATGTAGAAAAATGCAATTAACATAAATAGTTTCTAGATTATTTTATATTGATAAGTAAGGTTGACAAATTGTTTCAACTTTTTTTAGTAGCTAGTTAGTTTGTTTTCATTTTAAGACACATTCTCTGATACATATCTAACTATTGAACATACAAAGAAAAGCTCAAAGATTCTCAAAGTCAAAGTCAAAATCATTTATTTCAATTAGACCAGAAAGGTACTTTTGAACGTCAACAAAAAAAAATTAAAAGTGAAGCTATTTGCTCATTCCAAGGTGTAGATTCCTATGGAAAAGAACGAGCAAGAAACGCCATAGGTTAATCTTTTTCAACCAGGTTCACAATACAATACTTTAGTTACATAGTTTTGTTGTTTGGATGATTCCCCTCTATTGTTATGGTAGCAATTTGTAGACAGAATGTTACCAAACATTGTATAAATGTACAGAATGTAAATGAAAGACGTGATGTACAGATAGTTAAATGAACAGGTGACTAACACATTTCGCCAATAGTACCTCAGTACAAGTGGGACTGTAACTTGTACGGTGTATTCTGTGCTAAAGCTTGACTGAAGTCGCTAACTTACAATTTGCTTCCAGTTGGCGGTATGCTTGATGATTATCATTAATTCCTATTAGACAGAGACGGGCGATAGACCGCGAGCCTAGGGTTGTTACCTTTCTCACTCTTTTTTATCAGTAGGTAATGTATTTTGAACTGCAGTAATTAAGAAATAGGGTTTGGAATGTGTTTCAGGGTAACTATGATATTTTACAGAACAATTTTCTCTTATCATAGAATGTAGGGAAAATCACGGGAAACGATTATGCTTAAAGACACGTTATTTTTCAAACGACAACACATAGTTTCTAATATTGATGATTACAGCCTTGTTTTTGCATGTTAATGGACGAAAAACTGCTCTAATTTCCAAACGCGTCGCAACCCTATGTAAGACCCGATTCCCATGGCGATGAGAGCGTCTGCGCCTGCGCATTGTCTTGACGCGGAAACGATTGCGCGCAAACCTTGCTATCAACGTCACAGTTAACGTAATCTTGCTACGCTGTACTTAGCACAGTACTATAATACGTAGCATTATTACTGTCCTTCCTTCCATATTTTCATTCAGGGAAATCTAGGAGCTTCTTAGCCAGTGTTGTGTGACGATTTAGCGGTTTGCGTGTGCTGTTTTCTTTTTTATGATGTAATATGGTGGGAGTCCATTTCGCTTTTGGGTTGAAAATTATGTTTTGCACTGTAGATGCTTTTGTATCTACGTTTGCATCCGCTTCTTGTCTAGTAGTTCTGGTTTTATACTTATATATAAATCAATTTCAGAATAAAACCAGTTTCAGTAAACTATAATAAACATTTTTTTCGAGTATTTTAGTTAGGCACACCAAGTCCACCTGAACTAAAGTTCACTACGAAGAAATCTAAAGTCGAATTATAAAATTAAAAACCTTATAAATTTAATTATATAACTTAAAAAACAACATGTAATGTGCATCATAAAAATAAAAACAAAACACTCAAATATAACCCAGACAATTTCAGATAGACATTAGACCATAAAAGCTGCAGTGTAATAAAAATGTACTATATTACTTGGTCGGTTTACCCATGGGAGTACAACCGTTCCAAAGACTGAGTTTGATCGCTCCATTGCGTTTCTGACATATTATAACGATGTTATGTCCACTATACTCGTGTTTTGAGTTAAATGGACTGTCTTATAGTCCTTTGGTTTTGAATAAATAAGGACTTACCTTTTTTTGGTACATACTTTCAATCAATTACTTTTACGATGGGACATTATTCATTGAACTAGCTAAAGCATTTGATGAAACATAATTTCTGATATGCCCTTTTCTTTTCTGAAAATTTAGATGAGAGAAGACGAGTTCATCAAAGACCACTACAGAATCAACTTGCACGGTTCTCGCACATTATAGTTATAATCTGTCTGGACTTGACAATGACCTCTGAGTTTGTTTTGGCATTTCAGAGTAGTCAGTTAGGAAATGCCGGGCCCTCATCTACTAATTTAATGATTGACGTGTAAAAGTGCTACTTTGTAGTAACCTATTTGCAGAAATAACTATCATTTCATTTCATTGTCAAACGCCCTAAATATTTAACTATATCACTTGTCCCGAATTCTAGTTATGGGTTGGCCCTAAGTTTTCAATTAGGTACCTACTGTTATTAAGCGTCTACAGTAAACCTAGATAACTATGAAGTATCAACAATTCTCACGGTTTCTAGGGCATTAGGGCTTGAGTTATATCTGTAAACAACATTAAAATGAGATGTGCTGATACCCTTTGACATTATGTTTAGCAATCACAGATTGTGTTAATAGATTTTAACACTTGATGCTAATTAATTAGGGTTCTAAGTTTCTTATTTCCTGTCGAGTTTTGCAATGTTTGTAGTTTAACGGATATTGTTGCATTTGAAAACTCAGCCATGTTTTTTCTTTCTTTCATCTTTTCTCCGGTTTATGTTTGCTTGTGTATCGCAGGTTTAGGTACTTTAAGCGGTGCTTATCCCTCTGTTCTCTTATCAAATCAGTTATATCTTTATTCCTAAATATTATATCATTATAATGATCAATTTTTTCTTTGTCGTCTACGTCTTTTAATGTCTTATGTACAAAAACACCATTATCATCTAAAGTTTTCAGAAGATATTAATTTCTTTGACATTAGTAGGTAGTACATCTTTCAATGTTCGCTACGAATATTTATTGTAGATCAACTAAATTCTAAAGAATTTCACAAAATATGAATGAAAGTTAAAAGCAAAACGTTCATTCAATAATCCATTGACTATCCCATGAGGTTAGGGGGGACTGTACTGTGTAGTAACCGCGTAATAAGATAACCGACTCCATAGACCTTATGACCTCACACTTCCTGTAAAAGGCGTTAATTATAGTCTGCTGGGGTTCCATTGGATTATAGGATCTTTGGTAAATGTTGAGTGTTAAGGTTCATGTACTATAATCATCTAGACTGTGCAGTGAAATTAAGAAGTAGTTAATCATTTAAAAGCATGATGTCGTGTAAAAAATTCTCTATAATGTTGGAACAGAGATTTCAGTAGTAGCACGGAGTCTGGAATTGTGCCCTGTATATGGCAATAGGCTCACCCCCTATTACATGGGACTCATAACATAAATAATGAAAAGTGGTTGTTACATTGTGCAGTGGCATTAAGTGCCGTAATGTGCATCTCTGCCTACCCCTTCGGGGAAGAAAGGCGTAATGTTATTTTATGTTATGTATGTAGAGATTAAAATCTTCTGTTACATTCTAACTTCGATCGACAATCTTTCAAAGAAGTCATAGGAAATTTATGACTTTCTATGCTTGTATGAATAAGGATAAGCCCAAAAACGTTTCACTTATTAGATATCCATTCACTACAAATATTCTTAAAGCTACCTACCATTCTACAAAATCTCAATAAAATCCGTTAAAACAGCATAGGAATGAAGTCGTCATTACATCGAGACCACAACTTCATCTGGTTTTGCTCGTATTACAGCCTGCGATGCTCGACTGAGCTCGAACTTGTCACGCCACTACAAATAAGGGCATGCCTGCACTGTATGACGACATTATAGTTTTTATAAAAACATCTCTGTAGGTCTTTGAACTGTAGCTTATAACCGTTTCACTTCTTCTTTAGTCTAGTATGTTTTATTATTCATATTTGTTTTTTTATGGATTATTTTATGTAAATATCAAGCTATTGTTTCCGTCGACATCATTATTTTAATATTGGCAGACAACACCGAGTCATGTTACAATGACTTTAGTTTTGAAAATCTTCTGGGCTCTAAACCTATGCAACTGATTGAGGTTTAGCGTCGCAATCGAATTAAAGAGATAATCAAACAGATCTTTTTAGGAATAAAAACCTTCATTACATTACAAACACAAAAAAGCCCCGTAATATCCAACATGGAAGCCACAATAATAAATTTTCTTTTTGAAAACCATTTGTGGAAGCAAACAGTTACCTAGGCAAAAAAATGCGCGGCATCTATCACTTTTTTGTCGTCTAGCTTTCAGTCATCAATCATATTCTCAAGAGGCTACTTTACTTTTTACTTTTCAAGTATAAGGACTCTTGAATACCGCTTGAGACTGTTAAGTAGGTAAATATAGCATTTTTACTGCCGACTGACTTGTGACTGGACAATCATGCGGTCTTCGTCATCGATGACGTAAGAAACTGAAGAATTCCACACACCCTTTTTCTATCTTAAGTTAATAAACGGGTTAGAAATTTATTAAAAACTAGCTGACCCGGCAAACGTTGTTTTGACATATAAATAATTTCGAAAATTGAGGATTGTATGTATTTTTGTATGTTGTATCATAAAAAATAGAAATTAACAATTTCGTCTGAAAATTAAAAAAAAATTAGGATTGGACTACCCCTAACATTTAGGGGGATGAAAAATAGATGTTGGCCGAATCTCATAGATACCGGATAAGCACAAAAAATTTCATCAAAATCGATCGAGCCGTTTCGGAGGATAATGGCAACGAAAAATGTGACACGAGAATTTTATATTATTAAAAATAGAATGAAGGTTCTAAAAATAAAAAGTTTTTAATGACGCAAATAAATTACAAGTAGCTTCATGACTTTCTGCCGAAGCTTTCTGCTGTCCTGATGCAAACATTTACATTATAGAACTGTGCCAAATGGTTGTTTCTTTAGCACAGAAGTTAATTGTCATATCCAAAACGGCCCTCACCTATTTCTGGCTCCAAATACCGCTATTATTTTCCGGTTTTATCGTCTGACTTATAATTACAAGCATAACATAAGCTTTTGTCTCCAGGCGCACCTGCAAAGCTTTTAACAACAGATGCCTACGCGTTGGCTATTATTTACTTCCCAATTACACTGGTCTATTCCACTCAAGGTCTCATGTTTGACTCGTAAAAAGTCTCAAAATTCCCACATTACCTGGTTTAACCCAAACAAATCCATAGTAATAAGTACATAATATTTAAAGCATTTAGATCCAGCTGGGCATATGTATTTAAAACTTGTATTAGCTATTCATATATGCGAATAGTGACCATTAGCATGCAAGGAACATTCTCATTGTAACTTGTGATCCGAAATCGTGACGGTGGAGGCACGGCGTAAACTGTACGAAGTATTGATAGTAGTGCGCTTGCTATATTTGAGGCTTGGGGATTAGTGAAGAGGTTACTGAAGTTGCATAGAAAAGTCTAACATAGTCTGTTTCTGCGTACACCTAAGAGACGGGACTTCAGGATGGTTTTTTGTCAGCAAGGCATGGACAATTCTCCTTAAAGATTTATTTTGATCCTCAATAAAGAGAATGTTAAAGCAGATTTATGTTTGAATTATAATTTCTTCTAATATTGTTATGCATTGCTTCCTTATTTAATCTTTATCCTAGAGGAGGTATGAAACGATTGTGTATGATCACTTTATCATTCCTATATGAAGTTCGTCACTTCTTGTCCATCTCACTACTTACCTTTCAAGTTCACAACTAGCTAAATCGCTTTTATCTTACGTCTTAATCCTAAAATGACCAGTCCAGACGCCAGCGCAGAGGCGGGGCATCCCTTCCATCGGTCGCCATAACCACTCAATGTCTGAGTCTCTCAAAGCAATAACATTTGTTTTATAACCATTGTTTTGGGCTATTATAATAGACTGAATTTAAATTATTCTTTCAACGAAGGTGTCATGAAGATACATTCAAAAGTTTGAGTTAAAGAGTTAGTTATATTGAAAAACACTTTGATTAGAATTGTAGGGAGATATGAAGTAAATTAGGAATCGGAATTAAGAATGTTCTTGTATTTTGCCGTTTTTCTTTGGAAGGATGCTGAGAGAAACTTTGTTGAAGAAGCGATAAAGGTTTAAATTAATGCGATAGCTTGAAAAACCCTCAAAATCTTTACATAATTGTACTCTAGGTACTAACATAATATAGTGTTTTTTATTGTTAACAACACTGTACAATGAGTCAATGATATATTATATTCAAGTGCTTCCCTTGTCTAAGAAGTTTCATGATGCCATGTCGCCAGACATAACTTCGACATAAAAGTGACTGTTTACTTTGCAGTGTAGTTCTTCTATTTTGGATTCCATTCCTTCATTCTGGTTTAGAACCTGTACGTGATAATTACACTTATCTGTACGTATTTTTCTTTAACCGAAGTAAGATTCTACCATTCTACCTCTAGAACTACCATTTAAATATTTAATTTGCTTAAAAGGAACTAAATGATCATATATTATATTTTTTTACGATATAAAATGAACTTTAATCCTACAGGCGTAAGCGTTATTCAAAGCTTAACAATTTCATTTTTTGCTATGCAGAACCACATTCCCAATTTGGCGGGATAGTGATTTTCTTAAGAATAACATTACCAACTTAATAAGTTACGTAACCAAACGACTATGAACTTTATATCAATACAATAGAGGTCATGAAACCGCAGCTGTATTTTTGCTTCTTTAAAAGGGCAAACTCGATACTGGTCGGAGCTAGATTGTCCTGCCTCGAGCACTGCTTTATTCATCATTCAAATATCAACTTAAACTTTACGATTTACAGTTGATTTTGGTTTATGACTTTTTAAAGTCCAGTCGAGTGTAGGACAGAGGGAACAATGGAGGATATTGAGTTTTATTTAAGTGGGTTAAGGTGGGTTTTTGAATGGGATGAATGATGGTACGGTTTTGATGGGATTGGAACGCTGATGTCAATTAGCATTCTAGAGGGACGGGGTCTATGGTATAAACATAAAATCTCATTGCCTGTCATAATGGTATTCATGTGAAGCTTGGGCTTTGTGAATGACGAACAACTTGATATTAGGACAATAGGAGACTGATGGAGTTATCTATGTTTTTTATCGCTTTCATACTTTGTATTGCCGTATACAAATTGTCTAATTTATTGGCTTATTGACTACTTCGATCAACAATAACAACATTGACTAGGAGAATGATTGAATAACATAACATCACGCTTTTTATCCCCGAAGGGGTAGGCAGAGGTGAACATTACAGCACTTAATGCCACTGTACAATGTAACACCCACTTTTCACTATTTATGTTATGAGTCCCATGTAATAGGGGGTGAGCCTATTATCGTATACTGGGACAATTCCAGACTCCGTGCTACTACTGATTTTATTTTTGAAACTCAGTGATACATTGCCTGACCCGAGAATCGAACCCGAAACCCCTTGCCCGGCACTTAAGACTACTCGACAACGAGAATGATGGCTCTGAAATGTACTGACTTTGTTTTTTTTTAATGAGTTTACGGGGGAACAATCACCACAACGTTTTTGCAATAGGTGTTATCTTCCATTGTGTCGTTTAAATGCTCATATTAAATGTTATTTTCTCTTTTCCAGGGTTCACGGGAACGCAATGCGAGGTGGAGATAGACGAGTGTGCCAACAACCCCTGCTTGAACGGAGGCATCTGTCATGACATGATCAATGCGTTCAGGTGTACCTGTGTCATAGGGTACGTATTGTAGCCATTTATTCGCTCCTTTTTCTCGTAAATGGCTTGACTGATTTCGATGAGAATATCTGTATGGTAAGCTGGAGTTAAATCATTAGATTATCGAAATTATAAGTCTGTTTTTTGGGGCTGTACGGGGTAGTGCAGGTTATATTTTTGTAGTAAGCTACAGTTGGAATCTTAAATAGAATTTGTCTATTTATAAAGCGATTGGGAATGCTGAAGGGACATTTTTGCTTTAATAGCTGATTAATTTTCTTTCATTATATCACCTAGACATTTACATGCTACAATTTGTATTTCAAATACACATATACACATTACATCACGCTTTTCATCTTCCAAGGGGTAGGGTAGAGGTACACACTACGTCACTTAATGCCATTATACAACTTAACACCCACTGTTTACTATTTATGTTACACTTGTGATCACTCGGCCAACGAGGCAGTATTTGAAATATCCTTCATAACATCGTAAATGCTAATTATCGCCATATCTTCAAACTACAGGTTCACGGGAGCTCGTTGTCAAGTCAACATAGATGACTGCGCTTCAAGTCCATGTCGGAACGGCGGCACCTGTCATGATTCTGTGGCTGGATATACTTGTGAATGTCCACCTGGGTACACTGGTAAGTCAATATTTAAATGTATATCTTATACTTCTTATACTATTATATAAAGCGGAAGACTTTGTGGTTTTGTTTATTTGTTTGAACGCGCTAATCTCCGTAACTACAAGTCTGATTTGAATAATTCTTTTTGTGTTGGATAGCGCATTTATCGAGGATGGCTATTGGCTATAAAACATCATGCTACGACCAATAGGAGCTGAGCAGAGCGTGTGAAATTAATTATATAGTGAGACATACTATTGAAAAATATGGCTTATGAACCTTTCGAGAAAAGCTCAACTAGTTTCAAGTCAAACCGGGAGTCATATTGGTGCGCTCGTCCTGTTAAAGTGTACTCAATGATGGGTTTAGCAAAATTCTTTTTTTATTTAGACGCCTGATTCTTGATCAAAACTTAGGACAACTATTCCTTATGTTTAACACTTATGAATACAAGGATGCAAGTGATATTCTAGAAGTAACTAGTTTCGAATAATAATAAAGTTGTTATTGTTAGTAATACAAACATTCTAACATTGCAACTTTAGCCTGTTATTATAGACAAGGTAATAAGCCTATGTTGCTATTATGAATCAGTCTGATGACGTGATATTGTTGTGACGTCATTTTAGACCAATCATATCATGTAAATAGAAAGCTTTTGTTTGATAGTACCTACTCTCACTATGGGCAACGAATAGGGTAGACGACTAATTTTTATTTTAATGTCCGTCTGGTAGATTATTTAAAAACATTAGACACGTATTTTTTATTTTCTTACGGAAACGAATAGTTTCGAAGATATATTGATTTGAAATGTCGCGTGACGTCACTTCTCAGTACATTTTATACTAAGAAATGACGTTTTAGCCCCCACTCCTAAACTTTGATTCGTTTTATCTAAGTATTGTTTTATTATACAACAAAATAAAAAAATACGTGTCTAATATTTTTTTATTACCTAAGTTACGGCCTAATTATATTTTTAATTTTCATACCCTGTCATCATCCCCATTATAATCTACACCCCACTTGAAACGTTTAATATTTTCCTGTTAGATGTCTTTTTTTATTTTACTGTCCGTTTGGTAGATTATTGTAAAACATTACACATATTTTTTTTATTTTCTTAAAGATATGAATACTTTTCATGATAATATGTTGATTTAAAATGTCGCGTGACGTCACTTTTATGTACATTTTATAACATAATGTAGGAACTTCGTAGAAATGACGTGTTAGCGGAGGAGCGGGACTCCTAAACTTTGATTCGTTTTATCTCAGTATTGTTTTCTTATATGCGAAAATAAAAAAAATGTAGTTAATTTTTTTTCATTGCATAACTGACGGACTAATTAGATTTTTAATTGTCATACTCTGTCATCAACCCTATTCCACATGTATAAATTCTAGACGCTTAAGAAGAACGACTTTGTTTTACCAACCAACATACAAATACCTTTCTTATTCCAGGAATGTCATGTGAGACGAACATCAACGACTGCTTATCAGCCCCATGCCACCGCGGCGAGTGCATCGATGGAGACAACAGCTTCACCTGCAACTGCCATCCAGGGTACACCGGCAGAGTCTGTCAGACTCAGATCAATGAGTGTGAATCCAATCCCTGCCAATTTGGAGGTAAGACTTGATATGACTATATTGCCCATTCTCACCAAGGTTTCCTAAATATTAAAGAGGGGTTCGTTTAGTTAAGATTTTGGTTTCCACGAACTTACAAGTATTACCTACAAGTAAGGGGTTAGATAAAGGCTATTATCATTTTTTAATAGAATAGGCCACAAGAGGATACGAATCCTTTAATGGTAAGCAATCAGCGCCGCCAATGAACGTCTTCAACACCAAAGAAGATTGTGCCTTGCTGGTCTTTCGGGAAGTACCCTCTCAAATTCCGTTCATGATTGATAGGCCAATTCTCTCTATGAACGCGATGAACTCTTCCACACAGATTTTTGTTCGGTTATCATCAATAAAGAATGTGATTTCTTATCACATTATCAGCCTATAAGTGCCCACTACTGAACAAAGAAACCTTTAGCACGAAGAAAGCTGTAGTACACAAGTATCATTCATTTAATCATAAAGTCAGTCAGTACATAAAACAACTTCTTTCTTTAGGACATTGCGAGGACCTCATAGGCGGCTACCAGTGCCGCTGCAAGCCTGGAACATCAGGTCGCAACTGTGAGATCAACGTCAACGAGTGCTACTCCAACCCTTGTAGGAATGGCGCCACATGCATCGATGGAATTAACAGGTGAGGAACTAGCGATTATCACCTTATGTTATATTTATTTTCAGTTGTGTTTTAGTTAAGAATCTTAATGTCTTTTAGTGCTTTTTGAATTGCACGATATATGAGATTAAAATCGGATTTTATTAAATATTATGCAGGAATGATGCATCCTATTAAATATTCAGTTTTCAGACTTAGATAGTGACTGAACCATAGTCAACAAAATATGAAAAAAAAATAATTCTTAAAAATAATTCAGCATAATATTATCCAATCAGAATAATGTGGGTCTAGGAGGGTATTCATTTATTTTATTTACTACATATTTATTTCTTTCTTTATCAAAATTTTAACGCTTTTTATTTTCTTTACATGCAGCAATAACTATTTTGAGTAAGTTTCAAAGTCATTTATTAAGAGCATGATCCTTCTATCTTTAAATACGACATCAAAGTCAAATAAATAAACTTTGATTTCGTATGTTTGTTTGTTTGTTTGTTTGGCCTGCATGTAATAGAAATAATACTATAATAATGACAAAAGGAGACTTATTAAATTACTGTCTCTGATCATAATATAAATTATTTTGCACGATTTTTGGTTTCTGTGTATTTATTAATTTGGTTTTACCCCTTGTAAATGTTATTACAAGATAGGGTTCGTTTTCCCGGATTGAACAAATCTTTATTTAAGAATATTTTCTGAATTAACACCCGATTATATGAAACTACTCATATTACTCTTTCCATTGCTGATATCATACCTAGCATCTTCTATCTCTCGTAACTCCTATCTGACATCACCCTGGTCTCCCCAGGTACACCTGCGAGTGCATCCCAGGGTTCACGGGTCAGCACTGCGAGACCAACATCAACGAATGCCTGTCGAACCCCTGCGCCAACGGTGGAAAGTGCGTCGACAGGATCAACGGATTCCGGTGTGAATGCCCTAGAGGATATTATGACGCTAGGTACGAACGGTAGTAGGGTAATGGATGCTGGAACAACCACTTTTATCGGTTTTGGGATTAGTTTTACCAGCCAACATGGAAGAAGAAACAAAGTAACTGCTAATGTCGACGAAAAACCGAACGAAAGACTTATAAGAGTATCGCAGCGAATTCTTAGAGTGCTTTACGAGTAGAATAGAAGTTCTTTAAGTTCTATGTCCTCTATTTAGGCATTGAAGTCAGAATAACTAGAATAAGAGAAAACGATTATCATTACCTCACCTTATCCAGTTTTATAATCTATTCTGAACTTACCTTTAACGTCCCATACTTATTTGACCCTGCCGAATCCTCTAGAAGACGTTTTTAATTCTTCTGATCAAACCCCCCCCCCCCTTCCTGATTATTCATTTAAATGCTTATAGAATGATTGTATCCTTTACAGATGTTTGTCCGACGTGAACGAGTGTGCATCAAACCCCTGCATCAATGGTGGTTCCTGTGAAGATGGAGTGAATCAGTTCATCTGTCATTGCTTGCCTGGTTATGGTGGTCAGCGCTGTGAACGAGACATCGACGAGTGCAGTTCGAACCCGTGCCAGCATGGAGGAACGTGCCATGATAGGCTGAATGCGTATAAGTGTGACTGTGTTCTTGGGTTTACTGGTAAGTTCTGGTACCTTATGATCATATTGCTGGGATATAGTTTCATTGATCAAAGATAAACAGATTTCTTCTTGAATATTTGACGAATTTGGTGGAATATCCTTTTGGTTCGTCTTACATTGAGTGTGTAAGAATGGGGTTTGAAAATGTAGGTACTTAATCATGGAACACCATGATGAACCACAATACCTGATTCAGGCCTTCTTTATTTACACCCGATCTTTTAATATAGCTCACAAAATGTGATTGTCGTCATTTGATACCTATTCTTCAAGAAATTAAAAACTATTTTCTTTAACAATATCTTCTCTACAGGTGTAAACTGCGAGACAAACATCGACGACTGTGCGGGCAACCCGTGCCTGCACGGTGGCTCGTGCATAGATCTCGTCAACGGCTACCGCTGCGTCTGCGCACCTCCTCATTCAGGCCGTAACTGCGAGAACACACTCGATCCTTGTACTCCTAACCAGTGAGTTTTCATAAATATTTTGATTTTGGTTACCTATAGTATTATAAAGAATTTAGTTGAAATTTTTAAAATTACTTTAGTTACGTCAAAGATCAATAATTTATCTTTAGGACGATAACAAGCAGTTTCTTATTGTTTTATTTAAAATAAATGTCTCGACCTTTGACCTTAAGTCTCTGAGTATTGTCGCGGAGAACCTAACGGGTTACCGGGGCTCCGGCTCGACGTGCAGGAGAAAGAACGGGGTGGTTTTTAGTCAGTAAGAGTCTGACACTCCCCCCCGCTTCACCCAGGCGGGAACCCAAACCCACCACCCATCACCCAAACGGAACATTCGATGATTTTCCTTACTTAAAAAAAAGTATCTGAGTATTGAAGGCAAATTCATCTGCGATTTTTAAAACAATTTCAATTTTTTTTACTAATTTTCTCCTCTGTCAGTACTGTAAAATTTCTAACCATCAAATTCCTTTTCCAGATGTCGCCACGGTGGTCGTTGTGTAGCCGAAGCCTCATATGCGGAGTTCACCTGTCAGTGCCCCGTCGGCTGGACTGGCGCCCTCTGTGAGCGAGACGTGGACGAGTGCGCTGTCACCGCGCCCTGTCATAATGAGGCCACGTGTATCAACACCGAAGGGTCTTACGCTTGTCTATGTGCGAGGGGCTACGAGGGGAAGGACTGCGCTATTAATACTGATGATTGTGCTTCTTGTGAGTATAGATTATAATATTAAGTATAGGTACTGCCCTGCTAAGCCGAAAAGCGTTATCTCTGAAATACGCCCTTTGAGTTTTTTTATACCATTCAATAGGTAGAATAATTTCGCATCTAATGATATAAGCCAAATAGCGATATCTAATTTAAACTGTCAAACACCAAGCGGTCACCGGTGACCGCAACCTATTGTTCTATAATTGTGTCTATAATGATGGTACTAAACTTATAATTATAAATTATAAGCCCAGGTTTCCTCACGATGTTTTCCTTCACCGTTTGTCAGTGGTGTCTAAATAATCTTAGAAAGTACATATAACTCGAAAAAAGTCACATTGGTACTTGCCATTGGTAGGTTTCGAACCTGTCCCCTCATGTATTAGAAGCGGGCGTCTTAAACCTCCGGGCCACCACGACAGTAGTCCACGCCTAAACTACTGGAACGATTTTGATGAATTCCTCCACAAAGAGAGTTGAATATAGTTTTAAAGTTTTAGACTGTTTGGTAATGCTTTGTTTTATGAGAAATCTAATAAACGCCTTGATCCGATTTTAGAGTAATAAAATTCAATACATTATACTATATTCCACAGTCCCCTGTCAAAACGGAGCGACATGTCTGGACTCGATCGGCGACTACAACTGCGTGTGCGCAAGCGGGTTCGCGGGCAAACACTGCGAGGTTGACATTGACGAGTGTCAGTCCAGGCCATGTATGAATGGAGCTACTTGTAATCAGGTGAGAATATTGCAACGACTTTATAGTTTTTTTTTTCTAGATTATATCCAAATAGGTTGAAATTGTAGACTTGCCTACATATTTAAATTAAAAAATTGCATTTGCTCTGTCCACTCCAAAGTTTGATTAAGTAGTAGATTACATTGCGTATTGTCGGTTCGATTCTCGCGTTGAACAAAAATGTATCTTACCGCAATTGCCAACTAGTCAAATTCAATACTTTTTTTTAAAACTGTGTATTGTGACGTCACGTATTTTTAGCGTCAAACAGCATACCTACTTATTTTTTATTCCTAAAAAATTACTGTAAAAATACTAAAATTAAATTGGTCATAAAATCAATTAATGACATCTGTCTGTTTATTTTTTAATATTCTATTGTATTGAACAGTCGAAATAATTTATTTTTAAATTAGGAAAGAAACACTCGCGTGTCGACACAAAACAAAATAAATTTCCTATAAGTATTTCATAACAACTACACATATATATTAGGACTTTAGAACATAAAAATCAAACTGCTTATTATAATATCTATTCCACACAATTTCAAACTATAAATCCTTTACGTAAAATCTATTATTCCTTTTCAGTACGTGGCCTCATACACCTGTACGTGCCCGCTCGGTTTCTCCGGCATCAACTGTCAGACGAATGATGAAGATTGTACTGAGTCTAGTTGTATGAATGGAGGCACCTGTATCGATGGCATCAACTCTTATAACTGTTCCTGTCCGCTTGGGTAAGTTACTGTGAAATGAGTCTTATTTTCATTTGTGTATGGTTTTGTTTTGTTATGTCAGTTGAGGGGTGTTTCAGACCTTTTTGAGTTGAAAGTATTTGTGGAAAAAGTCTTCTTTAATCTTGATTTCTTGTACTTACTTCATGTCGCTAGAGGTATTTTAGGATGATTTACCGATGATATAATATTTGCCAATGTTAAGCATTGGTCTATCAACGTTAGATAAGTAAGCTGATTTGATTGAAATCAAGGATCTTATCATTCATTAGGGCGTATAATGAGAACAAAATTGAATATTCGTAAGGACTTTAAAAAATAATCATTTGATTCATAGATCAACTTTGACCTTTCAGTAAAAGTATAATGTTCTTTATCCCTATAGTTATAATATTAATCCTGTTTTTCCTATTGCAGCTACACCGGTTCAAACTGTCAGTTCCGTATAAACATGTGTGACAGCTCTCCGTGCGACAATGGCGCCACCTGTCACGATCACGTCACGTACTACACCTGTCACTGCCCCTACGGGTACACGGGGAAACACTGCGAGAATTATGTTGATTGGTATGTTACCATACTGAACTATACACTAGGTCATAATTATATGTTAAACTATTTAATTTGTTATGAGTGACTTGAATTGCTTAAATAACATGACATATGATCATGCCTTTTATCCCCGAAGCGGTATGCAGAGGTGCGCATTACGGCACTTAACGCCACTGTACAATATAACACACACTTTTTATTATTTATGTTATGAGTCCCGTGTAATGGGGGGTGAGCCTATTGCCATATAATATACCGGGCACGATTTCAGACTCAGTGAGTTTTTTTTTTAAATCCCTTTAATTTTTTGCCCGACCCGGGTTCAGTCGCAGTATTGAATTCGATCGCAATTTATACATTGACGTAGTACGTGCACTAAAACACAATATGATTATTATTATAATTATATTAAAACTATTGAGTTCTTGACTTTCATAAAAATCAAACCATTGATCATCTATCCGCAGCTCACTGAATAATTGGCACTGATACTTACGATTATTCTTATAGTCATACAAATATCTAAACTCCTTCTTCCTCCACAGGTGTGAAGTCAATCCATGTGAGAATGGCGCCACATGTTCTCAAAAGGGTCCCCAGTACACCTGCACCTGTTCCCCTGGCTGGTCCGGCAAGCTCTGCGACGTCGAGATGGTGTCCTGTAAAGACGCTGCTATCAGGAAAGGTATGGATTTCAGAGGTAATTTAGTGTTAAATACTTAACAATTGCTTATCTTAGACTTTGTTACAAATTATTTAAGTATCGCTTTGTTGTTAGAAACTGAAAATAATTAGAAATATTTCTTTTGCGAGAATATATATCGTTACTAATAAATCAATACTTTGTCCTCAGGAGTAAAACTAAAGCAGCTTTGCAACAACGGCTCATGTGAAGACATCGGCAACTCGCATCGCTGTCACTGTCTCGAAGGCTACACTGGCTCCTACTGTCAGAAGGAGATCAACGAATGTGAATCAGCACCATGTCAGAATGGAGCCGTCTGCAAGGATCTAGTAGGAACATACCAGTGCCAATGTGCTAAAGGATTCCAAGGCCAGAATTGCGAACTGAACGTAAACGACTGCCTCCCCAACCCTTGCCAAAACGGAGGAACATGCCACGATCTCATCAATAATTTCTCCTGCTCCTGTCCCTTCGGTACTCTTGGAAAGATCTGCGAGATCAACGTCAATGACTGCAAGCAAGACGCGTGTCATAACAACGGTACTTGTATCGACAAAGTTGGAGGCTTTGAGTGCAAGTGTCCACCTGGTTTCGTTGGTCCAAGATGCGAAGGAGACATCAACGAATGTCTATCCAACCCATGTTCAGTACCCGGTACTCAAGACTGCGTCCAACTTGTCAACGATTACCATTGTAACTGCAAACCAGGGTACATGGGAAGACATTGCGACGCCAAAGTCAATTTCTGCGCAAACTCCCCCTGTCAGAATGGAGGTATTTGCACCGCTATACAAGGAGGACACGAATGCCTCTGTAACGATGGTTTCTATGGTAAGAACTGCGAATATTCTGGGTACGCTTGCGATTCCAACCCATGTCAGAATGGAGGATACTGTAGGACATCTGAGATTGGTGGCTACGTCTGCGATTGCCCATCAGGATTATCAGGCGTAAACTGTGAAATTGATTCAATGAACGAGTGTCTCAGTAATCCTTGTAAACACCCAGAAGCAAGATGTATAGACAAACCCGGGGACTACCTTTGTTACTGCCCTCCACAATGGACTGGCAAGAGCTGTGATATCCATGATCCTCACTCTAGAGGAGGCTACGGTATTCCAGTCAGTGGAGGATTCAGTCCTAAGAAACCAGGCATTACCTTTGAAGAAATGGATTTGGCTTATCAGAAGGAACAGTGTGTGAAGAAGGGCTGCAAAGAAAAGCAAGGCGACCACCACTGTGACGAGGAATGTAATACGTACGCATGCGAGTTTGATGGTAACGACTGCTCTCTAGGAGTGAACAATCCTTGGGCAAACTGCACGGCGCCAATCAAATGTTGGGAAGTCTTCATGGATGGCGAGTGCAACGAAGTGTGCAACACACAAGCTTGTTTGTTCGACGGCAGAGATTGTCAGAAGTCCTTACAACGTTGTAATCCAATCTACGATGCGTACTGCCAGAAACATTATGCTAACGGCCACTGTGACTATGGTTGCAACAACGCTGAATGTAACTGGGACGGTCTCGACTGTGAGAACGAACCTCCTCACTTGGCCGAAGGTGTGATGTCAGTCACTTTACTAATGGACATGAAGACCTTCAAAGAAAACTCCGTCGCCTTCCTCCGAGATTTAGGTCATCAGTTACGAACTACTGTGTTGATAAAGAAAGATCATCTAGGAAACGACATGGTCTATCCATGGAAGGGATCTACCGACGTCGGATTACAAGATACGGAGTTTGGGAAGAAGCATAACATCGTTTTTACAGAGAGGGGGCAATCTGGAGTGCAAGTGTACCTAGAAATTGATAACAGAAAGTGCACATCAATGTTGAGCTCTGAATGCTTCTTCTCAGCAAGAGAAGCTGCAGAGTTCTTAGCGGCTACTGCTTCTAAACACTCCTTATCTCCAAACTTCCCAATTTTCCAAGTGAAGGGTGTGAACACACCTGATGATCCTAACGGCGTACCAACCAACTCCAAATACGTGTTCATCGGAGTAATCCTGGTGCTTCTTGCTGGTTTACTTATTGGTGTACTAGTAACAGCTCAGAGAAAGCGAGCAGCTGGTATAACATGGTTCCCCGAAGGTTTTATCCGGAACAACTCGTCGACGAGACGTCGATCACGCAGACGTGGTCCTGATGGACAGGAGATGAGGAATTTGAACAAAGGATCTATTGGCTGTATCGATGTGGACATCAATGGAGGTCATATGGGACCTCCTCATCATTGGTCGGATGAAGATGATGATGGGTCAGCGCCTCCAAGAGCAAAGAGGGCACGTGGGCCAGGAGATTCTAATGGAGCTCCAGGCGGCTATGCTTCAGATCATACTGCGATTACGGATTATGAGGAGGCCGGTCATGATGGCAGAGTTTGGACGCAACAGCATTTAGATGCAGCTGACATCAGAGTACCTCCGAGTATGATGACGCCACCGGCTATCGTAAGTATTCAAACTTATTCAACTTATTTCTGGATAATCTCTAACTGTGAATTAACCTGTTATATAATTTTTGCTTATCAATTAATTATCTTTCTCTTTTCCAGCATGATGGTCACGTAGAAGTGGACGCTCGTGGTCCACTTGGTATGACTCCGCTAATGGTGGCTGCTGTACGTGGAGGTGGTCTCGATACAGGATCCGACGCTGAAGATGAACAGACTGCTCATATTATATCAGAGCTGGTGGCTCAAGGCGCTCAGCTGAACGCTGCCATGGATAAGACTGGAGAAACTAGCTTGCATTTGGCTGCTAGGTAAGGATACTTTAATTTTTTTATGTAACTTATACGAGGGACTGCCTGACCGGTGTATTTAATATAAACCTTCTTCCCAAGGTATGCTCGAGCGGACGCAGCGAAGCGTCTCCTGGATGCTGGAGCTGACGCCAATTCCCAGGACAACACTGGTCGTACTCCACTACACGCGGCAGTGGCTGCTGATGCTATGGGAGTCTTCCAGATTCTCCTCAGGAACAGAGCTACAAACCTGAACGCGAGGATGCATGATGGAACCACACCACTTATTTTGGCTGCTAGGTAAGTCTATCAAAGCGTATACCTAATTAAGTTAGTTAAATTTTGCCTGATTATAATTAGCTATAAAACGACTATTATACCTAATTAACAGTCTTGTCATATGTCGACGTCTAATGCATTGAAAGTTTAAATATGTGTTCTGCTAAAAGTACTTCTTAATCAACAATATTTAATAGAGAATTTTGATTGTGTTAAAATGCTCCTATTTAACTTTGCCATAACTACTTCTTTATTTCTTCTTAAGAATGCAAATTAGTACTTAGACTAAGAGGGAGGTCAACAACCTCTTGTTAAATCTCAATTTATCTTGCTCTAAATGTAATGTGTACCCCCCTACAGGCTAGCCATAGAAGGTATGGTGGAGGACTTAATAAATGCGGACGCGGATATAAACGCGGCGGACAACAGTGGCAAGACCGCGCTGCACTGGGCCGCCGCCGTCAACAACATCGATGCAGTCAACGTACTGCTCACTCATGGAGCTAACAGAGACGCGCAGGATGATAAAGTAAGTGATTTTGGATGGTCAATGCGGTAGTTGACAGGTAGTCAAATTCAATTTTTTTATATTAAATGTCAAAAACGATACTTTTCTATGAATTTTGTATTGCATCGCAACTTCTGCGTCAAATAGTATACTTATTTCCTTAAAATTTGCGAGAAAAAATCCAAATGTAGGTAAATTGTCAAATCAATGGATGAGAGTATGATTATTTTTTAACTATTGATTGCATTGAAAAGTTGAAGCAATTTATTTTAAACCTAGGAAACTAGCCAATTACTTAGATTTTTTTTATTTTTATTGATAGTGTTATATAAGCTATAAGCAATGGTGGTTTCGCTATGAAAAACGATCGTTAGCCATGTTATGGCCAAAAATTTTACCATGTTTTATTAGGTTCAGATTTTTCGACACTTGAGCAAGACACTAGCTATCTTGCTATCAAAAAAATACGTAAACAAAAATAATCAGAATAACTATAACTCGTGTGTGATAAAAGTATTTTTAATTATTTCATATAGGTTCAAAAAAAAATTACGGAGACCATCCTGACCAATGTTCTAACCTCCTTTTTTCCAACAGGACGAGACGCCCCTCTTCCTAGGAGCTCGCGAGGGTTCATACGGGGCGTGTCGAGCACTCCTCGACGCGATGGCTAACAGAGAGATCACAGACCATATGGACCGGCTGCCCAGGGATGTGGCCCAGGAGAGGATGCATGATGACATTGTCAGGCTACTGGACGAACACTGTCCTAGGCCACCTCCACAACATCATCATCTTATGCGTGAGTATTTTGGACCTACAATAAATTTTGGAAGTGTTTTAGGAAAATTTCTGTGGCTTTATGCTGTCCTGGTGTATTTTGTATGAGATTTGTCTTTAGACAGATGACGAGGTGGTTTTTAATAATGTTTCTCTGTCTTCAAATTTAGAAGTTAAAGTAATTATTATAAACTATGTATAAAGGAACGTGGTACTTAGGTTACAGCACTGTTTCTATTCCTTATGATGTGACAGACGACACCTCGTATTTTGACTCTGAAAAGTTAAAGTGATTCTAAAAACTACAGTTTTAGGTTAGTCCCTTGAAAGTTTTAAAAGGAATTGTGTCTCTTAACCAAATAATAATTGAACCTTCTTCCACAGCTTCTCCAAACCCGCACCCGCAGCTGATCAGTCAGCCGACTGTCATCAGCACGGCTTCAAAAGGGAAGCCGAAGAAGTCGCGAGCGAAAGCCGGCCCCGACAGCCCCGACCAGGCATACGACAACAATAACTTGCAGACAACGCAAATTAGACGGTACGTTAGATGTTTATAGAGTATATTTTTAAACTACAGAAGGGATATAAAGTTACGGGGTTCTTGACGGAAAGCAATAGCCTATTTGGATGTTTGCAACACTAGATGAAACCTCTGAACATAACAATTTGCAATGGTAGGACATAGTTTGGTTGTACCAAACAATAAAAGGATATCTGTATCCCTTGAGGATTACTTTCTTTATTCTTTATTCTTTATATCTACAGTCTTTATTTTATTAAGTTTAATACACGGTTTGTTTTTCTCTTTATCTCTGTAATATGTAGTTTGGATTACTTTATTAGTTAGTATAAGTTTAATATGGTGTAAGTAGTCGCTAGATTTTATAATACCTGGTGATAACCAGCGTAGCGTAAACCTGTAATGTTAACTTGTGTGCGTAATAAATAAATAAATAAAAAAAAAATATTAAATAAATACTACAAAGCGATAGAGTAGTAGTAGTAATAGTAGTAGTATGTAACAAAGGGATATCTGTATCCCTTTAGGATCACTATTTCTTAATTGATAATGTTTCATGACTAATCGCTATGCCTTTGCCTCAGTTATTTGTAATTGAAAATTATAATGCAAAAGTGTAAAATTCTCATATTCAACATTTTAATATTGATTTTTTTTTGCAGGAAACCTAGTGTAAAAAAGAACAATAAGAAGGTGGCCCAGGAGGTGCCACAGAGCGTGGAGAGCTTGGGCTCCAGTCTCAGTCCTGTTGAATCACCGCTCCAAAATTTACAGGTAAACTGTTCATATTTTATAATATGAGTTTATTTTTATAGCTGATAATTCTACGCTGGAAATCACCAATACTTTAAAGTGATTGAGAGAGAAATTAAAAAAATATTGACAACAAATTGGAAGAAGGTATAAACACGACATTTTAACGTCTCTATTTGTACGCGACTCCTTGTGTCACTGGTAGCTCAACTTAACTGAGCTGTGGAAGGCCTAACGTTTGCCGGGGCTCCAGCTCGAAGGGCAGGAGAAGGAACGGGGTGGTTTTTAGTCAGTAAGAGTCTGACACTCCCTCTCGCCTCAACCTAAGCCGGGAGAAGACATTGGATGATTTTCGCTCCAAAAAAGAGTTCAATTTAACTGTCAATGTTCCTTATTTTGATGAAAATCAGTTCTGACTTCATTAATGTTCTGTTTGTAGGACTTGCCGTCGCCGTACGACGCAACGTCGCTGTACTCGAACGCGATGGCGCAGTTCGTAGGCATCGAGCAGCTAGTGCAGCACAAACAGCCGCCAAGCTATGAGGACTGCGTCAAGGTAATACACTACCACAATACTTTGACTTATTCTATTCGACTAGCTGTTGACTACGTCCGTACGCGTTCGGCGCTCTGATTGGTTGGTTCATTGGTGCTGGCCAATCAGAGCGCCGAACGCGAACTCGTTTCGAATACTTTAAACATAAATCAAACTCGTACTAAGGCTTCTGTTTTATCGCATGGGAGCATTTAATCGGGATAAATATCCTATCACTTAACTTAGCTGCCTGTATACCAAATTTCATCAAAATCCGTTCAGTAGTTTCAGCGTGATTGAGGGACAAACATACAAACATGCAATCAAAGAAACTTTTAAATGTATAATATTAGTGTGATCGTGAATGAGTTTCTAAGTGTAAGGATAAAGACTCGAAGGCTCACTCATTTTGATTATTTAGGTATCTTCGTAGCCATTTTACAAGCGAAATTATTATTCCATATCCTACGTCTCAAATTTGCTGCACCACCCATAGATCCCATCTACTCAGTCAATTTAAACTGTTATTAATTTATGCGTTTTTAAGTAGATTTCAAAGTTAAAATATTTAAATAATTTAAATTAATTAAAAATTGCGGGTTATTCACGTGAAAATACTGAAAAAAGCTCTACTAGTTTCGAACCACAGAGGGGTTCTTCCTCATGAGCAGCGTGCGCGGTCGCGGCGATGTCACGCAGTCTACTGATGTTTAGTTAATATAGGGTTGATTTTTCAATCATCAGTTAATTCTTAATCGAGGAATAACTTTGAGTATTTGACAATTCATCCATACTAAAAACTGTCAAATGTCAATTATATTCTACAGTTAAGAGTTAACTGATGATTGAAAAAACGGCCCTTAGCCCTCACGATAGTTATTATATAAACATAAATTATATATAAATTCTTCTAACTGTAACTTGTTTCATTACCATTGTTTTGTGCCATATTGCTATTTATATTGTAAATGTATCCATAAATATTGTGTACGCCGTAACTAACGAGCGCAGTGCTTCGTCCCGCAGCCGGGTCAGACGCTGCAACAGTCGTACGGCGGCGGCGCGCTGGGCGCGTCACTGTCGCCGCCCTACTCCAACCACTCGCCCACGCATAGCAACCACACCACGTCGCCACACGCTTATATAGGTAACATATACTTCTTCTTATTAACATACCACAACATCACGCCTTTTATCTCCGAAGGGGTAGGCAGAGTTGCACATTATCATCATCAACAGCCTATAAATGCCCACTGCTGAGCAAAGCCTCTTCTCGCACGGAGAAGGTTTGAGCATTAATCACCACGCTTGCTCAATGCGGGTTGGCGATTTCAAACTTATAATTAGAAATTATAAGTCCAGGTTTCCTCACGATGTTTTTCCTTCACCGTTTGTCAGTGGTGTCTAAATAATCTTAGAAAGTACATATAACTCGGAAAAAGTCACATTGGTACTTGCCGTTGGTAGGTTTTGAACCCGCACCCTCATGCATGAGAAGCGGGCGTCTTAAACCTCATGAACTAAATTATTCAAATTGTGCCTTTGATCAGTAATAAATTATTTGTGCATAAAATGGGGGCTGTAATAAATTTAAATAAAAAAAAAATACAAATTAAGTTACAATGGGATAAGTAAAATATACATTTTGCCTTCACTTTAATACTAATACATATTTGTATCGCTCAGGATCTCCCTCGCCCGGCAAGTCCCGGCCGTCTCTACCGACCTCACCCGCGCACATGGCAGCACTGCGCCACTCACACCAACACCAACTCGACGCCGCGGCATACTCTGCGCTTGCGCATCTAAGTAAGTATCGTTTACATACAATAGATTTACCTACTATAATTTTAAGTAGAGTTCTAATTTTAATTATAAAATTAATATTTATAATGACAATATCATAAAATGAAGTATGCATTTTTTAACTGATTTTACTTATTGTATTTTTGCTTACCTTATTGGAAAATAAGAAACGTGACATACGTATTTTTTTATTTCAAGTAGTTATCGGGTTTAATTCTTATAATATTGTAGTCTTATTTTTTCTACACGGTATACCAATCACTATTGTTACATAACATAACTACACGCCTTTTATGCCTCGGAGGTAGGCAGAGGTGCACAATACGGCACTTAATGCTACTGTACAATGTAACACCCACTTTTCACTATTTATGTTATGAGGCCCATGTAATAGGGAGGTGAGCCTATTGCCATATTCTAGACTCCGTGCTACTACTGATATTTTTTTAAAAACCCAGTAATACTTTGCCCGACCCGGGCATCGAACCCGCGACCCCTTGCCCGGCAGTCGCACTTGCGACCACTCGGCCAACGAAAAGACTCCATTAATTATTATTATTATTATTAATAATGTGTCTCTATTTACAGGTGCTAATGGTCAGCATAATGCGCAGTTGCAAGCAGTGATGACGCACGCGGCTGCGCTCGGACAAGTCCAGGGCGCGCAGCACCCAGCTCTCACGAATATGATGTCAAGTAAGTTATCATTTTTATTTAGAACTGACTTCTGTCCGCGACTTCGTACGCGCAATCCCGTTTTCTCCCGTTCCCGTAGGCTTTTCAGGATTTTTTCTGGCATAAGAACCTTCTTCTGACGATAACAAACAACAAAAATCAGCAAAATCGGTCTAGCCATTCTCAAGTTATGGCGTGACAACGGAAAACGGGTTTCATTTATATATATATAGGTGAAAAATTACAATATAAGTTAAAAAAATCAATATTTATCTTGTCGTAATTACGACTACTACATAAATTGCGATTCATAATGAAGTCTCGATTCATTAGTCGATGGTCATACAGAATATATTTGTGTACAGTTTGATCTTGTCTTTCATTATTCGGGCCTAATAGTTATTTTATCACAAGACAGTAATGATAATATAACTAGGAAACGTTGTATAGGCAAAAATCAGTGTGAAGGTATCATTGATTTTTGCATATGTTATATGGGACGACCTTAAGTCTTCCTATATTAATGTCACATAACATAACGCCTTTTTATCCTTAAGGGGTACGCAGAGGTGCACATTACGGCACTTAATGCCACTGTACAATGCAACACCCAATTTTTTCTGGATGTTACATTGTTGTGAGTGTTATGTTATGAGTCCCATGTCATGGCGGTGAGCCTATTGGCAAATACCGGGCACAATGTCAGACTCCGTGCTACTACTGAGATTTTTCTTTAACAACCCAGTAATATTTTGCCCGGCTCTAGAATGGAACCTGAGACCCCCTTGCCCGGCAGTCGCACTTGCGACCACTCGGCTAACGAGGCATCCATTAATTTCACTGTAGTAATAATCATTTCATTTTTATCCTCAGGTCTATACGGCGGCTGGGGCATCGGTGATACATTCCCGACGCCATCGCCAGAGTCGCCCGACCATTGGTCGACGCCATCGCCACAGACGCCGCTCACACAGTCCCCGCACTCTGATTGGTCAGATCGTGCCGCGTTATCCCCCAACGACATACAACAGACCAATAAGGGGGCGACCGAAGCCATCTATATATAGGTTTATTGTTAAGGATCGGTTTTAGATGAATTATAGACGTTCTTAGTTTGTTAGTGGTGATATTTTGTTAGACTTGATGTATTGTACAGCCATTTTTTACAATATTAATTAGTATTGCCGTAGTTGGTGCTACGTATCATGATTTTTATAAATGGCAATCCAAGTTTTCTGTAAGAGATAAATTTATAGCATTCCGCCTGTAAAGTAATACAATTTTTACAACAATTAAATATTTTTGATGTGGCAATTTTAAATGATAAGTATATTTTGTACATGGCAATATTACTCTCACATTCGAAATACAAAACACCACAGAACGTCCAGCAGCATAGGAAAGAAGACAATGTATAGAGCGACGAGCGACGCGATGCGATGTAAATTCACCGTTCGATGTCCATTGACGTTTTAGTTCGACGTCGGGCGGCGGTGTCGTAAACATAGACTGACTTGTACAGCCATGACTCGAGTGTATAGTTTTTAAAGTAGTGTAGAATAATGCACTAACAACTTGATAATCTCGTGATTTCTAGCATTCCCCCTGTTTTTCGGTGTGTTTTTTGCAAAAAGAATAAGTTCGGGACCAATGAAGTGCAAATGTAAGCGTATCCTATGGCTGATTACCGTAGGTATTGCTTTGAGAGACATAGAAAAGGTATACATTCAACTTTGACCTTTAAAGACCCTTAAGGTAATGTTCAAATTATCTTAACTCATTCGTACTGTCTCTTTTAAATAATAACGACACAAAAGAGAATGTAACAAACATTCGAAATTTAAAATTCAAAAATGCACCGGATGTTAACAATTGACATTTTGATAAAGGAAATGACACATTTGTTACGTTGTTGATGTTTTTTTTATTATTATTTACTTGTTTAAGAAAACTGTGTTTGAAGCCTACGGTTTCAATGCATGAGATTTGTTAGGTGCAGGCGAATGACGTCACAAGCCGGTAGGCCGATACGTTTGTACGGAAATTATTTATGTGTGATTCTGTAGCTTAGGATTTTATCGCTTTTAGTGTGTAGATAGTTTATCGGTTTGTTACTAAAGCTGAGATAAAAATGTAATAGATTATTTTTTGTTCGTTTTTTTTCTTTTCGTAATTTAAAAATAAGCATAGCTTTTTTATTATTTCTCTTTTTTGATGTAATGGTTTTAAACAGAATGCCTTTAAATCGGCTTTAGAAACAAATTGTGTTAATTTAGTATTTAAAACTGTAATATTGACTGAGATTGTCGCCATAATATTTGTCATGTTTGTTTTATTTTATCATCAATTTTATTTGTTCACAAACTTTATTTTGATCTGGCAATAATCTCAGTTTTAAATATTATATTTTGATAGTTTACATATCTTCCGTATGTCGAATCATTCCATAATTGCTTCCAATTAGACTACTATGTTCAGGGGTGCCTAGTTAAAAAAATACCTAGTGTATAACAAAGGTGTTGCCATTTCTAATATACCAATGCAACCTCTTGCATATTTAGTGAATTCCCAATTGTTATAAGATCTCATTCATTCCATTTGTGCTTTAAAGAACAACCTTAGTTGACATTGTTTTTTTTTTATTTTTAATAAATAGTTGAAGCGGGACCATTCATGCTCAATTTTTACTCAATTCCATACATACTCTATTATATTGTAATATATTTTATATTTTTAAGTAATTCTATAGTTTATAGCTTGCGATGTTGTACGCCTTCATCATTGTAAATAATTTTATCATTTTATTTTATTGTAATGTAAGTAATATTTAAAAAGCGAATGAAATAACTGATCTTCGTAGTTTTACGGTAGTATTGTAGTTTTTTTTAATTTTTATTTTTTTGTGTCATCTTTATTGTGCCAATGAGCAGATTTGTTTACTGTACCGTTAGTGAAACGCACAGACAATATTACTTGTGTATTACTAGTTGTAGAATAAATATTATTGATAAGGGAATTGTGCTTCCTAACTGCTTATGCCTAAGCAACAAATGCCCCCTAAGTGAATATAGGAATTGGCTGAAGTACAAAGGGAATAAATAAACTTTTCGACGTAATATTTCGAAGTAAAAAAAAATTGTAAAAGAAAAACCAAGACTGTAAAAGATAATTAAGTGCAAAGGATTTATACTCATAAATAAATAATTCCGTAGCGTTTTCTTTTATCTTTCGTGTGAATGTAAGAAGTTTAATATTTGGCATACCTACCTGTATCTTCTTTGTGAACATGGCACATTGCAATGTAATGAAAGGCACTATTTTACGAAAGATAAAAATAAAGATAAATGAAACGACCTTTAATCAGTGTGCCTTTTAATTAAGACATTTGTAATTTAATCTATTTAGTTAATTAAGTGACGTAGTTAAGTTGATAAACTTTGTAAATATATTTTAAACAATTATTTTCATTGAAAATGATTGATTTAATTTGTAAGGAAAAAAATGAAATTTTAATGAATGTTCTCCCCTAATGACAATAAAGGAATAAAATAAAAATTTGCTTGTTTTATTATATAATCTCATAGTGTGATATCAAAATTTAAAACCATCTCGAAAATAATGGTGTTTACAAATTATTCAAAATATCTTACTCAATATTATTAGATAAAATATGGAATTATTTTTTCTTTACTTAAAAAAAGCACTTTGCCCTACACCAGGATTTTCTCCTGAATCGTGGGTGCGATTACAAACATACAAGTTCACATACACTTGACACACAGACCCGACACAATCATTTGTGGATCACACAAAGGCAACCGCCCTAAAGGTGTAGTCAAGTCAGTCAATACTAAGTGATTAGTAACGGAATTGATTATTAAATTCAATATTTGAATTAAACTGTCAAACACCAAGCGGTCACCGGTGATCGCAACCTATTGTTCTATAATTGTGTCTGTATTGACGGTACTCGACGAGTTAAACCGATAAAGTAATAATGTAGGTACCTTTTTTTTTAAGGGGGGAAAATCATCGAATGGCTGGGTGAGGCGGGAGGGAGTGTCAGACTTTTACTGACTAAAAACCACCCCGTTCCTTCTCCTGCACGTCGAGCCGGAGCCCCGGTTACCTGTTAGGTTCTCCGCGACAATGTAAGTACCTAATAATTACGAAAGCAAAGAAAACACTAAAGTCTTTCATACTCAATTGTTTTAATTGACTGTCAATATTATTTACACATACCCTCAACTTCTTCGCAATATTTTACTAACTGTAAAGTAGGTAGTCATTTATCTATGAAATCCTTGACTCAAATAGTGTATAAATAATTTTATGAATTTTATTATTGCATTCTCAAATTATAGAAGTGAATAGTGCTATTACAGATAGACTCCTTTAAAAAATGATGGTGGTGTAGAAAAAAGGTGGAATAAAAGTTTTCATAATGATTTTATGAAGTTATGGTAATGTTATAGTGGTGATGATATTATTATTACGTGAAGAATATTCATTTTGTTTTATGGTGAGTACTTATTTACTTTAATATCTATTTAGTATGGCGACTGTCCAGTAATAACCATGCAAACTCCTACCAATTTTAAGTTTGAAATTTTGCTCTGCCCGACAGGGTCCGTATTTGTTACTATTGTATTTTCTCAACGGGTTGCCGGGGCTCCGGCTCGAAGTGCAAGATTAGGAACGGAGTCTGACACTCCCTCCGGCTCACCCAGGCGGGAGAAGTCATTCGATGATTTTCCCCCCTTAAAAAAAACCACCTGTATGTGTACTGTGGTTGCAATAAATAGGTACTTGGTTTCTTGATTAATGTGATAATTTAATATCTTCTTTTACGTATATTAAAGGAGTAAGTTAGATATGAGGTGATGGCAGTATAGAATGGGTTGTTTTGACACTACCCTCAGTCTACCGGCGGGTACCGTAGAAGCCGTCTAAGCCCAAAGGGATTGCACATCACAGGGTTTGTAAAGATGAAAATAAAAGATGATCAATGTTGTGTTTCAAAGAGTCACATTCATTGATTGTGAATCGCCACAGTCTGGATGGGCCGTAACACATTATTGTAACCACAGGAAACGACCTCACTCACACATGGGCAGTATCGAGGCGCGTGGCGGGCTGACGTCACGATGGTGCGCAATGGCAGCATCGATGGCCGCCCTAGCCACCATTACCACCGTCGGCAACATAGCCGTGTTGATCGCGTTGCGGCGCACGCGCACTGCGCCTGCTCATTACCCGCTTGCCAGTTTAGCTACAGCTGATCTACTGGTAGGCTTGTTTGTGCTGCCTGTCGCTGCTGCAAGAGAGCTGTTTGTGTTTCAGTCTAGTAAGTCGTAAATATTTTAGAGATATTTTTATAGTAAGCTTTATGCGAAGAAGATCGCGTTTTGAGACGGGTTTGAATTGTTGAAGATGTTAATTTTGGTAAATTCTACCTATATGCATTTAACATCCTATTAAATTTGTATCAAAAATAGCTTTTGTGTGTTTATAAATAAACCTTTGTCTATACTTATTACCAATGTTCAGACTAAGTGTGGAATCTATATATTCTGATCAAAACGATATCTTTCTCGAATCCAGACTGGATAATCTGCAGCTGCTGGAAGGTCATGGACATCCTGTGCTGTACAGCCTCCATCCTGTCTCTCTGCTGCTTAGGCTGGGAGCGCTGGTGCGGGATCACAGCTCCTTTCGCTCGAGCCAGACGAGCCAGATTAGCCAGACTCTTCGCTTGTCTGGTCTGGCCGGTATCTTTGGCTGTGGCATTGCCAACCGCCTTCATTCCGTCTCCAAAGACCTTGCAGATAGGAGTGGAGAAAGGATGTCCTGATAATACGCATATTGGGTGAGTTATGACAACTTTAGTTAAGTAGGTAAATTTTGTGTACACCGTCGGTAATTCCTTTCCTTTTCTTGCTTTAATAGATATACACCCGAATACTGAAAGGCTAATCAATTTTGAATAGTACTTAAATATCGTGCCGTCTCTATCTTTTTACGACGAATTTGTAGAGACAGAACTATAGTTAAGCGCGACTTACCTTGAGTAGCGTTTGAGTATTTGGAGTATATTTGTTTAGATTTGACACATAACA